AGGAAACTTTACCAACTATCAACAAAATTAATAATTAAAGCATTTTTATTATTCCAAAATGTAATAAAAACACAAAAAAATGCACCATAGTAAAACTGATATGTTATGTTATGTTACCGTTATGTATATTTTTTTGAAAAGTAGCTAAATAAAGTTAAAATAAAGAATACATTCACATCTTAGCATAAAATCTAAAATGCATATAACATTTACCAAGTAAATTAAATCATGTAATTTCTAGTTCAGATTTAAAACTGAACATTGTCTACTTTATCTTGATACAACAAAAATATGTCTTTATAAACATGATAAAATATGCCAAATAAAAGTGATCATATAAGATAAATAAAAATTATAATTACATATATTATGTACACAAAATAAAATAACCTAAAGATTAGTATAAGATTGCAATTTCATCTTAAATAAGTAAGTAATGATAAGTAATTTTACCTTAGTACAATTGAGAAATCCACTTGAAAGTAATTCTCTTTAATTGTTTTAAAATATTTTATATTTAATAAGATACGTATCACAAAAAATTAGTATTTACAAAAACACAGTATAAATAAAACTTGTTTATATATCAATACACGCCTATGATCTTTAACATAAAACTAGTTTGATATAAATAAATCATACATTTTAGGATTCTGTGAAAGCATGTCGTTAATATCTATGTAATGTAAGTACTCAATAAGACAATAACAAGTGAATAGTTTATACATTAAGGATTTCTATTCTCTGATTTATAGCTTATAATATTATGACGGTAAATAAATATTAGTAACAGAATTAAAATTTATAAAGTTATAACTAAATGTATTTAAATTTTGATATAATATTAAAGGCTCGATTAAAGGTAATAAGTTGAAATAAGACATAACTCATATATATACATAGAATAGATTAATAGTTAAGTAGTTACCATATTTTTATACACATCTTTTAAATTCTTATAAACTTCATATTCACTTATACTATACTGAAAAATTACACACTACTTATTCAAAAAATAAAATATGAATTTTTTAAGAAAATTAAAGGATCATAAATTAAAAGCATCAATAGAAGTAATGGATATTGGTAGTACTGCCACTATTAGGTACCTATATAAATAATAAATACATATTCATTTTTTTTATAAATATCTAATTTAAAATAATCTACCTAAATGTACTGATAATTATTATTACTATTTATATAAATATTATATTATTTATTACTTATTGTAATTATTCAACTAATAATAAATAAAAGATAAAATTTACTAGCATTTATTCTATTAATATTATACATTTGTTCAGTAAAATCACATTTTAAATAGTAGGTAACCAAAATTTTTGATTAATAAAATTTGAATATTTAGTAGGGTATTTAGTCAAGTATTTGGTATAGTAAAACATACAGAATATAGATTATAATAAATTATATACAAATAAATAAATATATATACATTACAATATAAAATTATTTTTATTAATCTAAAAAAATGTACTGGTTTCTAAAGCTATTGGTTAACATTTAACAATAAAATATATGTAAGGGATCTTACTATATTTAATAATTTCTTTAAATTTTCTCATTTCTTTTTTTAAAACATTATTTGTACATAATATTCAAACCTTATATATTTCAGTAACCTGACTAGTAATATTTTTAGATCTTTACAGCTAAACTGCCTTTTAAATCTTTTTCGTACAAGACAGATTGGTCCTTACAATTTAATTTTATTATATTTCCAGAAGTCTTAAATGAATAATCTACACACCCTACTAGATGTAATAATTGATTTTAATAAATAAATTATTAATTTTCAGTAATAAATTAAAAATGTATAAGTATGTACTAAATATATATCATTTTCATAATTATTAAATGATTAGATAATTTATTTTAATTATTATAAGGTATACATAGTATATTCTTCAATATAATTTTTTAGGTCACTACATATTAAAATATGAAATGACAAATTAATATTAACCATTTAAATATCATGTCCAATAATAAATATATCTACCTAAGTAGGTAAACTATTACTACTTTTAAATTAAATTGTCATTTAATCCACCTTATAGTCTATAAAATATCAAAACTCTAAAAAGCTATTCAAAAGAATATCATTATTAAATTAACTGTAAAAATACTGGTTGTATTATTAGTATAAGTAAATGTTAAACTATTATTAAATAAAAGAAAAACATTTTTTGTTTATTTAATAATAGATTTCTTACTGACAAGGTGACAAACCTATTTTAATGTTAAAATTAATATATAACCATGTAGATAATGTGCTAAAATAAAATATATTATAAACACTTGAAAAAAAAATAATACAATGTATTATGGTAAAATATTTAATTTATCTATTTATATTTACTCATATCATTTGGGTTACTACGTAAAATAAAAATACTCGAGTACCAATCCAGATGTCTACCTAACTTAATGAAGTACCCAGAAGAAACAGAATATACAACCACACTTAATAGAAAGTTTAGTAAATTGAAAACAACTAATATAGGTATTGAAAATGATGAAAGTAATGGATGTCTATTTTTAATATAAAAAAAATTAATTAATTTGGATACGATTACCTAGTAGATAAAATGACTTTTAATATTGAAGTAAAAAATACTTTTTCATATTCTGAGTAATGAGTATCTAACATAATTTATGAGATACTGTAAACCAAAAATTTGAACACTAATCTTTATACAAAAAACACTAATAAGAAAAAAAAAGCATACGGTTGGATTGAAAGTGAATATAGGTAGTAGTAGGACTTAACCAAATCCAATGTAGAAACCTAATAATACTAGGTACTTATTAAATATTTTTCATGACATTATTTGAAAACAAATTCTCAGTTCACACTGTAAGTAAACACTGCTAATGTAAAATAAAATATAAATAATAATTTACCATCCTCCTCCTTTCAAACAGTAGACAAAGAAGTTTTGAAGTCTTGTTTTCAACCTAAGAATAAGATGAGACAGATAGGCAGCCAACAAGGAAGTATTATAAGCCATTTACTTTGGCATATTGAGCAGGATTGGTGTAGGTGGAGGCGGAGAGTCAGGGAAGTTGTGAAATGGTTTTTTGGCAACATGACGTTTGGCAACTTTACGTTCAAAGTTTGGCCGACACAATATAACAATAATTGTAACCAGCACTCTACACGCTCTCATAAATGCTTATGTTGAAAAAGTAAAAGTTCTTACCTTTATCCTTCGTTTCCATGGCACGTCAACGTGTGAATGCTGGGGATTTTATCACTTTTGCAGTGCGATACGCGGCACAAGATTGAAAAGAAAAGTAATAAATCAATAAAACACAAAACGACGACTTTTTAATATGTCAATATTTATCGCACCAATCTCCTGTTAAGTGAAACGTAAAACTGCTAAAAGCAAGCGGTATTGACAAACGACGACGAGTGGTAAGTGGCAAACTGACGAGATGATAATGGGGAAACCCTTCCGAGTCCCGGCGGACGGGACGTCTGGTCGTCTGCGGTGGGCAAGGGGTTGTAAATACGCAGTGCAGCAAACGTGACAACGGCCATATCGCAAAACGCCACCGGAGAGGTGTGCGAAATCGAATACACCCGCTCAACGATTATCTATCGCGACGCCGCCGGTGGTGGTGCCGTCGCGGCGATGACCTTCGGACGGTATAAATATACATCGTTACTTATATGCAGAAACCAATACTTTCCATGTACATGTGTATAAGTACCTACCTCTTATTTTATATTATGTACCTATTATAATATAATGTGACGTGATTTGCGCGCGCGCCATACACGTAATTTTAAACGGATTATTATGCTATATACCTGCATAAGTACATAATATTATAATATTCAGGGCCGGCGGAAGGCACGTGCGACCTGTGCGATCGCACAGGGCGGCAATTTTTTTAGAATTTTAGGGGCGGCATTGTTTATAAATAAAAATATGTATTTTTCACCACTACTCACTGTAAATCTAAAATAAAAATAATACTCATTATATTATTTTGACTGGAACTGTGTCATTGTATGTAGTACCTAAGTAAGAGCTATTAGTAGATAATTAGGTATAATATAATGTGCGGGCAAGCCGCTAGCATTGTCGCTCGGCGTGTTTCGCGATTATCTAATATCTTTATGGTTTCCAATTAGTAAACACGAACCGAATCAAATCATGATAAAGATCCCCAAAATCGTATATACAATAATCAATACTCGTAATTTATTGTCAGCGATACAAACTAGTTTACTTATGACGATTGACAACTATCGAACTATACGTACCTAGTATATTGTCATTTGTTAACGAGTCGTAGTGTCAACGATTATAGAGTGCTGTGCATTGTGCATATTATTTAGTCGATTAACATTCAACATTCAACACGTCATATTTTAATATTAATAATTTGGTGAGTATTTTTTTTATTTTAAATAATTGTAATATTATTAATATTAAGTAGGTAATTTATGTAAATACAATGAAAAATTAAGAAAAAAGAATACATCCCGATATCTGATTTTAAATTTTGAATGTATTTATATATTCCTAATATATTTAGGAAGTGAATTTTTAATTTTCAAAATTAAAAACCTATTAGCTATATTATTATTTTATTATTTGGGTTGACTCTAGGAATTAGGATAGTCAATAATAATAATTGTATTGTTTGTTTGGGGTTTTGAAAAACTGTATTATTTTCATACATTGTGTTCTCATTTTATGTAATTCAACCGTATACATACGTCAACATATATTTAAAAAAATTTTAGTAAGTTACCCTTTTTTTAAAACTATCACATTTTTTTTTTAAAGAAATTTGAGATGATTTTTGTTAGAAAATGACAAGTGTCAATTTTCAAGTTTCTCGGCAAAAATATTAAATACAGACTCAAAGATCATTTATCCATGTTTTAGTGACATGCTTATTTTTAACAAATTATATTTTTTATTTATGTAGTAAAAAGTTAAGAAAGCGCCAATATGTCGGATGGTAGACAGCGACTTTCAGGTGCAGAATATAGGAAAAGAAAACGTGAAAAAGAAGCTGTAATTAAAAAACAGTCTAATTCTATCAAAAAATTTTTAACGGGTTCTTCCTCTTCATTAAATATTTCAAATGCTGTAGTTGTACAACCTAGTGAAGTTGTTGACTCTTTCTCAGTTATAGATGCCACTGTACCTTCTGAAACTACAGTAGCCAAAAGTTCAACAGAAAATGTTATCAGTACAGACCCTGCGGAATGGCCTTTAATTATTAATAACGACTTTAAAACATTGTTGGTTGAAAAAGGCCCTCCTGCTCCGTTAAATGCATATTTTGTATTTCCTTCAGATGATCAAGGACGAAAATTCACACAATTTCATTACAAACGAAGTATGAGTAATGGAGAAAATGTCACAAGAACATGGCTTGTATACTCTATTTCCAATGACGTAATATTTTGTTTTTGCTGTAAACTATTTGATAATTCAAACTCTAAGTTGGCTTTAGAAGGGTATAATGACTGGAGGCATTGTACACAAATGTTAAAAGGACATGAAACATCAAAAAATCATTTGACCGCATATAGTACATGGTTAGAATTGTCATTGAGGTTAAAAAAAACAAAAACAATTGATGACGTAAACCAACGTATTTTAGAATCTGAGTGTAGGCATTGGAATGAAGTTTTACAACGTATCATGTCGGTAGTACAATTTCTCGGTCATCAAAATTTAGCTTTTCGTGGATCATCTGATCAGTTATTCAAACATAATAATGGAAATTTTTTAAAATTAATTGAACTTATGGCTAAGTATGATTCTGTGATGGCTGAACATGTAAGAAGAATAATTAATAGTAAAAAAAATATAAGCCATTATTTAGGAAAAGATATTCAAAATGAGATGATTAATTTATTAGCTCAGTCTATTAAGTCTCGCATAGTTACTATGGTTAGCGAAGCGAAGTATTATAGTATTATACTAGATTGTACTCCTGATATAAGTCACTCGGAGCTCATGACTATTATTATTCGTTTTGTGTCAATTGAAGATTCAAAAGTTACCATACGTGAACATTTTCTTGGTTTTATTTCAGTTGAAAATAGTACTGGAGAATGTAAATAAATAAATTGATTATTTATTTCACCGTTTAAACTCCTATTCTCCTACAATTTAGTCCAGTTTATAATTAATTTTGTATAAAATAAATAATACTATGTACTAATTATATGACAAAAAGTATTGAAAGGGGCGGCATTTTATTAACTGCACAGGGCGGCAAAATACTTAGCGCCGGCCCTGATAATATTATTATCGTTTTCCGGTTACCCCGACGCGGATCTGACCTTGTTTTTACCGGTGCACGAAACGGAATCGAGAACACGGCAGCTATGGCCTGAGCCCCGACGAGCGTGGTGTGAAGGCGAACACTCGGGGACTGGATTAGTGGATTCGCTAAGCTCGTCCATATTTTTTTTTATGTCTGAACGGCAAAAAATTATTTTACGTCCTAGCTGTGCAGCGAATGCATTACTATGTCAATGTGGGTACCACGTTACTTGTATAATTTTTAAAACAAGTTGGAAATTCAATATGATATATTGATATTTTACCGATTGCTGAACCATTCAACAATAACTGTTCATGTTTAATTGATTAAACTAAATAAAATTTATATTCATCCCGAAACAGATTATTTAAACTCCAAATTGATGTAACATTGCTATAAAAATAGTAGGTACCTATACTATACTTAAATACCTAATAAACCGTATAAGTATATAGTTTATGGAAAAGTAAGATTTGCACGTAACTGCACACATTTTACTCATGATAAGTTAGTCATTACTCATTAGATTATAATTAGAGCTCGGATGTTCATGAAATTGCATATTTTTTTCTATTTATCCAATTTAATGCTAACCTGGATACAAATTAAATCCATGTTATACTGAATCAAATAATACTATTTTTATTTTGCATATTTTTACATATTTTGGGATTTTAAAAATAAAAAAGCATATTACAGTAAATGTTTTATAAAAAACAATTTAATTAACGAACTATACAATTAATTTCACATTTTGTATGTATAATTTTATGCGGTGGTAACTACAGTCTACAATCTACCAAGTATTGACGTAAAATATAAATGTTTATTATCGACTTATCGTGTTTGTTCGGAATAGCAGTATACTTTATTGGACAAGGTCTAAAATAACAATTGATGTTGAACGAAGGTTTTCACATTACAAAAATTTACTTAACGACAATAGACGCAGTTACAAATTTAAATAAATTAAAAAAACTATAGTAGCACAGCATAACGCTAATAATGGTAATACCTAATTAATAAATAATAATGTAAATTAAAGTAATTAAAACGCTATGTAAATTTAAAAAACTTATTTAAAATTGTATTAAAATAAATAATAACATTTTTAGCGCATATTTCGTAATTTTTTAGTACATAAATGCATGTATATTACAGTAGTTTTAAGTGCTTAAACATCCGAGTCCTAAATTTAAAACCAATATCGGATTAAGGGTAAAGAGAACCTAGGGACCTCCACTTAATGGGATTTTTTTATATCCAAGTATAAAACACAATGTAATATTTGCAAAATAAATTTAAATCACGAATTCACAACTTGAATAAAAATGTTCAATCACTGATATTGTCATAAATTTATAAATAAATGTTATTTTTAATTAATAATATATTTATATACTATTTTAAATGCATAAAACTTAAAAGTGAGTACCTAAAAAGTTTACAAATATAAATTTAAGATCAATTATTATGGACAAGTAGAATAGGATAAACTCTATAATAATGTAAAATATCGATTATTTGGTATCCGTGGTTTTAAATTTTGATAAAACCATTATATTAAATATATGTTGTATAAATTATTATTATTATTATTATTATTTTTATATTTAAATTCAAAAAATTTTAAACTATACTCTCTAATAAAATATTGTTTTGTGATAAATTTTTATATATAATTAAATTAAATTCACTTACAACTTATAAATTATAACTATATATTAAATATATGTAATTAAAAAATAATTTTTATAGGCCCAGGGCTCCCACATTCCGAAATTCGGTCCTGATTATAACTAATAATTATTAACGAGTATATATTTTGTATACAGTAATACAGTATTTGTTATAACTATAACGTAAAAGTGTCTAACGGTTAAGCCTAAAACAATATAATTAAAACATACCTAATAACAGTTATTTATTTTTCACAAAGATCAACGATGTCAGTTGTTAATAAATAACAATAACATTACACCTTTACACTTACCTAACTACGTCATATCATATTAATATTTACCTATGTTCTATACGTGCTGCAGTTGCAGCTGCTTTACATCTACATATTATGTAATATAATATTAAATATTTATATAAATCAATACGCATGATCAGTAATCCTCCATTTTCCTTCAAACCTCTTAAACAATTTTTAAAAATTGCCCATTATTTTATAAGCTTATTGCATATTAAAACAATTTGTAATAATTTGTAATTTTATTTTTCTATTATACAGAAATATATCTAAATAGATATAATTAACGATAAATGAATCATAAATATCTAAAACATATACCTATCTAGGTTTAATAATATCATATGCATCTACGCGACTATACGCCCTCATAATTGTACGAATCCATTATTTTGATTGCCTATTTAAATTTAAGTTTTATTTTTAAAAAGGAAGGTAAGTGGAATAAATGGATACCGTTGAGCTGTCATTGGATGTCAAGTAGGTCGTTGTTATGGGTATGTTAATATTAAAATTCAATGATATATTATTATATATTTATAATTTATATGTGAAAAACAATTCTGAGCAAAAATGAATCAGCCGGGCCGTATTAACCATTGCCCATTAGATATTAAAGGCACTGCGTGTCTAGGGCCTACGAACATTTTTGGACCTACGAAAATGCGTGGCTACAATTTTTTTGTAATATTCTTTATTATTTATTTATTTATTTTATTATTATTGTAAGCTAATATACACGTTAGCACAACAATTAAAATATTATGTATATAAGAAAATGATTATGATATAAAAGTTAAGATTTGATTTATATGTCAAAAATACTTTTGTTTTAAAAAGCTTAACAGTGAAATTCAATACTTCCTCTCTCAAAAAGAAGGTTTTTTAACCATCTGTATATAGAGCCTACGATAATGTTAATTCGGGACTGTGAATCAGCCTGTATTACCAAGAATATTTTTTTGAAAAATATTACATTTATTGAAATATTAGTGTTAAATTATTATAAAAATATATATTTATACCATATCATAATATCAACTTATATTAGGTACTCAAAATGTATTAATACCTTAAAACAGTTAAAATAAGTTTATACTACAAATAAATAATATATTTGTCATTACACAAAGAAAAATCAAAAATGTATACCCAATATAATATATTATAATATGCATAAAAGTTTTAAGTCCCCACGAATAATGTTTGTAAATTATAACAAAATAATTAGCATAGTTATTTATCGTTGAAATTTAAACTTAAAATATTTATAAATAATAATTGTTTATATATATATTTATTTTAGATTTTATGGTTCAGTATGAACTACTTATGAGTTATGAGAAATCTTATATTAAATTTTTAAAACTTAATATAAAAAGAAAAGTATTTATGAATTTCTTATTACAAAATTGAAAATAATATATATTTTTTTTTTGTGATTTTTAAAAATTCTAACTTCAAATGTACATATAAAAAAAATTGTGGCCATCTATTATTAATATTTTTATAAAGATATAAGAATAATTTATATGAGACCTTGTTAACAATTTTCAAGAATTTTTAACCAGTGAATAATTTTTTATCGATATTTATAGAAATTAAACAAAAAAAAAAAAAAATTGAAAAGATATGCCTATTAATAGCTAAAAAAAATTTGAAAATTTGATCGTTAAAAATAATAATATAAACGTTTGATGAAAATGTCAAGTATCGATTTTGTTAAAAATTAGATTTACGTAAAAATCACTTTACTCAGAATCTAAAATTTAACTCTTGTCAGTTCTTCTCCAACTACTTTTCTAAATTTTGACTATAACCATTTTAGATATTTATTCCTACCATTATAAAACTATAATTTTTTTTTGAAGCCTAAATAGAAGCTTTTTCTTATCATTTGAAAAGGCTTACCAATTTACAAAAAGTCTTAGTTTATAATGTAAGATAAGTATTAAACTTATCATGCACATATATGATATAAATAGTACCTATACTGTATTTTACTTCTGTTTAATTATGGTATTACGAACATACTTTTTATTATCTTGAGGTATGAAGTAGTTGCGTAAATAGGGGGCTTGGGGGACTTAGTCCCCCCAAAAATGTTCAGCACTTTTAAAATTTTTTTTGTTTCTGTGTCAGTCACAAAAATGTGGGATTTCATTCCCTCCAAAACAATTAAGCTAGTTGCGCCACTGGTATGAAGCAACAATAATTACTTCGAATAAAAACTGAATCAATTGTGACTTATTAAAATATTTTGGCCTTTGACCTTTATAAACAAGATATAGGTATTTACGCGTTCACACGTTTATAACAAACTTATGTAGGTTACATGTATAGGTTACACAGCACTGTTGATAAACATATTATTTTTTTTAAATCTAAATACGACGTTGTGCCAAATATTTTCTTCTGCGCGTCTTCTAAATGTGTGTGATGTATGTTATAATGGATTTACGTAAAACCATAATTTTACATTTAACGTTTTTTTACTTGCATACCCAAAACAAGTTTAAACTAAATGTAGATTTTAGCAACGATATTTCAATAATAATATAAATTTATAAATTATATAGTTTATCAATATATTACATTAGAAATATTAGAATTATAAATTATACGTAGGTATAAAAAAAAACAACTAAATTTTAACTATCCTTTTTTATAGAGTATGCATATTATACAATTAATACAATCCATAGTACCTATATATGTATACATTATCTGAATAGGTACCTAATGCACATTGGCGCCTTGTCATAAATTTAAGTGAAGCAAAATCAAAATATTTACACACCTACCCACTCAAACACC